AAAGCAAGTAATGAGATAAGATATAAAAGCAGCAAACATTGAGCAACAGAAGAAGAAAAACAGGACAAATATATACATGATGTATATATTTGCAAAGGAATAGAAACACACAATAAAAAATCTCAGACTGTGATGGTTAATAACCCGTCAAAGGGCAGCTGCTTTTCCTCCTATAAAGAACCAGGACCTGAACTCTGGGATCCAGTCCATGTGAGTGTTTGCTGCAGTTTTAGAAGGAAAACATTGATCCAAAAGCCACTTTAACCTCCCGGGGGCGCCTGCACCTCCCTGCTCTGACCACCAGGGGCCGCTGCTCCCATTTGCTCCTGTCCCTACTTATTTTACACCAACCTGGCAACCCATTCTCTAAAGCAGAAAACAGAGCTGGAGCAGAGAAGATTTCTCTTTTAATTTGACTAATTATTCAGCTTTTTGATACATCTTAAAACAGATTTGGGGCTCATAGACTGTATCATTATCATCTTTATAAACGGGCTGGTTTCAGTTACTACTGGACTATTGTTCTGTAGTTAGGTGGGACCTGTTTCTTAGAGGCCACATAAAGAAACAACTAGAGGGGAACAGTGTTGGGCCGTGGCGGACAGAGTGGACATGTTTAGTGGACTGACCGACAGGGAGGCCGGACGCAGAGCAGGGAGGGACAGACGTGTAACGGGACAATCTTCATGTAACTTGACAGCGAGCTGTGTAAGATCCCCGTTTAAGAGAGGGATAAATCCCCGTTACATAACTAATCCTGATTTAAGACAGCAGCGAGTCAGTCCGTCAGCAGGGCGGCATCTGCTCGGACATATGCTGGACGTCCGCGGTCCGTCCGGCGTCTCAGAGATAACGACAGGCGCCATGATCCGACGCCACGCCGCCCACTTCTGGTGTACAGGTTTTAATTGGATAAAAACACAAATCGTTTGTATATTTGGCCAATAGAAGTAACTTTTAAACTGACTGGTCAGCTTTGTTTACGGGTCCGTCTTAACTTGCTGAATCTGAAGTTTCACCCCAAAAAAATCACATCCAATCTTCACAGATTTGGATTTAGACTATTTTCTATGAAATATCTGATCTAAGAAGTCCTCAAAAGGACAAAGAATAAAGCAGTGAGCGTTCAGGAGCTGAGCTTCTGTTTGAAACTAAACTAAACTAAAACGACCCCCCAGTCTGTCCTGGTTCCTGCTTCCTCTGCGAACCCTCGGCTCTGCTCCCATTGGTCGACACGCACACGCCGACATTTGCTGTTGAAAACAGACCGGGAAACACACACAAACGCACACATGGAGCCGTCCACAAACCGGTTTGTGTGCGTGGTGTTTAACCACCGACTTCTGCCCCCACGGGCCGGACAGAGGAGCCCACGGAGGACCGGCCGGTCAGCGGTGAGACGCAGGCGGCCCCAAACAGACAAAACACTCAAGACACACAGCTGCCGGTCACGGTTTGGGAGACACTAACACAAAGGTTTGAGGGGAAGCTGCTCTACAGGAAGGCCAAAGAGTCCAGGTTCAGGCCCAGATGGGACACCTTTCCAGCCTGTGAGGACCAAAATCTGAGGTTTTTACGCATAGTCTTCCTTTCAAATCTGTTTATATGCAAAGAAAAATACTAAAATACATCAAGAAGTCAATAGATAAGTTGATAAATTCTGTTAAATATCTTTATGATGGGATCCTATCCAGGAGTGCAGCGTAAATCTGTGAAATAAATGGGCTCGCTGACACGTCCTGATCTCTGAGCACAGCATCACTCTCACAGAGTTTGGATTCGGGGTAAATTTAAAGCATATCTATGGGTCCAGGAGCCGTTAAATAGACGGTTTTCAGTGTCAGCTTTACGTTAATTTTTTTAAAAACAGGTCCATCTGTTTACAGCTCTCCACTGTTGCATTAAAGGTCTGAAACTCCTTCTAAAACTAGCTGTTCTCCACAGAATTAAATTTAAATTTTGGGCATATTAAGACTTAATACGAGAAATGTATGCAGGTAAATATCTATTTTTGAAATATAAGGTAAATAGCAGAAAAAGTGCATGATTCCTAATAATTTACAGCATGGCAATAATAACTATGAATATTAATCTAAATTAATCTGCTTCTTAGAAGTAAGTCAACTTGGTTTTAACACTGATTAAAAGTAAAAAGTTCCGAGTTATGAGTAAAACCCAATTTTATACACCTCATACTCTCTGCTCAAAGCACACAGTGAATATTACAGCTTTTTAAGATAACATGAAGGCTATTTTTATTAAGAAAACTTTTCTACATGCCTCTAAAGTCAATGTAAGACAGTTGTAAATGTAATAAATCAATGTATTTTGGTCTTTATGGGCTGTAAGCTTATGTTTCCATCAGGCTGTGCGGGCTATGTGAGCCGGCAGCTCCAGGACCAGGTGACCTGAACCCGACCCGGTTTGGGCCGCGGGGCCGGGGGAAAAGCAGCTGGGCAGATCTGGGAACTCCTTCTGGGCTGCTGCACAAAAAAGCTGCAGGTGGCTGCTGAGCAGTATCTTTGTGTCTGTTTCTTTTGTCTTTTATTGTCTTCAGTTTTAATCTAAAATGTATAAAACCGAGTCCAAACTACTGACTGGCTGCAGGCTGGTAAACAAACAGCAGGCTAAGATATCAACCATGCTTTTCGCATTCTTTTTGCAACCCGTTCAGGTTTTTACTGGTTTTTATCAAAGCCCGATCGTCTCCAGGTTGATTTAATCCCAACCGGGGGTTCAAGTGCTTCCTGGTGAGCAGCTTGGCCTCTGGTAAAGGTTAGCATGGCTGGACCGGGCCCTGTGGCGGACAGCGGTGGGGGGGGGGGCAGGGGGATGACGGCGCAGGCAGACAGGCAGACAGACGCAGCCAGAAAACATGGGAAAGGAAGACTTACTAACTGTTTTTGTCCCCTGTGGGAGGGTGCAGCCCGACATGGACTTGTTTGAGCTCTGACGTTTAGAGGGGTCAAGAGTGACCCTAGGAGGAAAGAGGCAGAGAAGAAAGAAGTGGAGAGAAGATGAGAGGAATGGAAAAAGGAAAATTTTCGAGTTAGAGACACTGAATGACAGAAAAAGCAACGGAGGGGGGAAAACAAGTAGGAAACACAGGTAGAAGAGTACAAATTAAACAGAGTCTGCTCGGGAAAAAGAGAGGAAAGCTGTTCGGTGTTGTTCAAGAGTCAGTCGGACAGATAAAGCAACAAAAAGCAGCCAGAGGAACAGACCATTCAGAGACGTCCGTCTGAGCAGCCGACCTGGGTCCAGACGTTCTGAGGGAGCTCTAACGGGGTTTCTCCATTTCAGGGTCTAATGTGACTGTAAACGGGTGTCGGCTGGGTGTGTTTCTGCTCCAGCTTTATGGGGACAGAAACGCAGGCACGTACAGGGAAGCTCAAAGCCCGCAGACCCTCCAGAGGTTCAGATTTTAAACGCGCTTCAGAGAGCTGTAGATTTAAGCTTCTGTTTGGGGTTCGTTTGACGGAAAAAAGTGCCTGAGAACGCAGATTAAAGTGAAAAAGGGCCATAAACGGGCGGCTGTAAGGGTGGGGGTTCGACTCCGGACCACCTGTAAGCTTGTAAGTCGCATCGGATAAAAGTTCCTATTTCATGTGTGAATGTAAGGAAATGTCCTCAAGATCAAGAGGCCACAGTGCAGAATATGAACGAACATATCAGAGGCAGGAAGTCAAAAGTGACACCTGAGGACAGTCATGAAGAATCTGGACGAGCGAACAATGTCCGTTGCTAAATCTCACCTGGAAGGAAGAAGGCCTCTGATCTGCCCTATTGTGGGGTAAAAAAAGAAAACGAGAACAACAAAAAAGTAACTGAACTAAAGCAAATTGCGCCTCTGAGAAACTTTGGGTGTCACAGACGACCCAAAACACAACAAAGGTGGTGAGGAAACAGTTTGCTGGAAACAAAAATTAACATTTGGGAGTCCTGACTTGAACCGATCCAGAGAGCTAAAGATTAGCGTGATAACAAAGAGGCCTTCAAACCTTAAAGACTCATTGTTCACTGCAACAACCAATGGTCAAAAAGTCTGCTGGTGATATGCGAAACGCTTTCCAGAAACGATAAGGAGCTGTTTTAAAACACAAATAAGGCTTTTTTGATGATTATTCCGAAGGGTTTGAATGGTTTTGAGCTCATCTGTACGTCCTGTCATCGTCCAATCACGTCAGTTTGTTTAATGTGACAAACTGAGATCAGCCAGTCACTGCCGACAAAGTTGAATAAGGAAACCCCTGTTAGACCCAGGCCTGCCTTTAGGGAGGACAGAATACATAGCCTGTAAGGACTGTCTGGAGGAGGGCTAGAGAGTTAGTACTGGTTAAGGAAGAGATGGTGAGAGGCAGCGAGGTTAGCTCCGGTTCAGGCTCCCGGTGAAGAGGCAGAGCTGGAAAACGCTCCGCCCCGCCTCAGGTAGAGCTAAGCTCCGCCCCCTCTCCGGCTTCTCCTCTTACCTGCGGGTCAGCTTGGAGGTGATCTTGCTCAGCAGGTTGGTGGTGGTCCGGGTCCGGGCGTGGGGCAGCGGGCTGGCGTCGTGGGACGGCGTGGGGGACGCCGGGGGGACGTGGGAGGGGGGCCGGCGGTCCCTGATCTGCCCCCCGTGGAAAGTGCTCCTCACCGTGGAGCCCCGGGAGAGGCGGGACGAGGGCGTGGAGGAGGAGGAGGAGACCCCGGAGGCCCCGGCAATGCTGTGGGTGGAGGGGGAGGCGGGGGGCAGCCGGTGGGACAGGTTGCTGCAGGGGGAGAGGGGACAGTCCTTCATTAGACGCTTTGGTTTCAGACAGACAGGCTCCACATCTGGGCTGCAGATGTTCTCCAGGATCCAGCTGCTCCTCTCTGCTCCCGCCCCGTCTGCAGGCTCCGTCTGCTGGAGGGTTAAAGCCGGCCTGCCTCACGTTCCTGCTAGTGTTGTCACGATACTAAAATTTTCAACTCGGTACCGATACTCAGGAAAATATTTGATACCATTTTCGATACAAGAAGACCCCCAAATGTAACTGAATTTGGACAGGTTAGTTTCTTTGGGTTCAAACTGACCTATTACTGATGTTATGGTGGCCCGCATTAATATTAGCGTGTTACTATTAGCCATTAGCCAGCTAGCAATTCAAGGCTAACGTCACGTAAATAAATAACGTAAATAAATAGATCAGAGAGAAGGGGTGAAGCATCGGCAGGTAAGTGTTGATACTTTTGAAAATGAGTATCTTATCCGGATACAATTTACTACTTTTTTGAGTATCAATACTTTTGACAACCCTAGTTCCTGCTGGGTACTCATCAGGGCTCCAGGATTCTCCGTTTGACCTGAGGCTGAGCTCACATTTCCCATCAGGATCAGGGAGAGAAAGGCTTTAAACTTCCTCTTTCCTCTTTCCCAGTTTCCAACCAGCATGGAAATGAGTTTTCACGTTAAGAAAAATCAAGCAGATTCAAGGAGAATCAAAGCTTGTTTTATGTTTTATTTACAAAATATATAGATATATCCCAGCTAAAAAATGGAGTCTTTATTTTAAAATGTGGAGAAAATAGTAGTCAGACTCACCTTTGGACCCTTTAAATGGAAATTCATTACCAGAAACCACATAAACAAACAAACCACTGAATGCGATATCCCCCGTTCGCTTTCTCTATACCTTCATCCCTCTTTCATCCTAAACAACATGTAGCAGGTTACAAAAATCTAATAAAAACATGTCAGATCCATCAAAGTTAGGTGATCTTTGCATGATGCTGTTTATTGCCAGTGTTGCCAGAATAAATAAAAGGCACTTGGAGAAGATCGGGTTTGTATTTGGAAAGACTGAAGGTATTTGATCTGATTAATAAAAGGCTGCCTAAAATCACGGCTGATCTCCTTCCCTTCCCTCCACACTTTACACTCCACCCAGGCTCGACTTTGAGGCTGGCTCCTGGCCGGAGGCAGCTTTTCATAACGCTCTAGATAACACCCACACGCGGGGTTCAAGTGGGACAGAACCATTAGACGGGTTAAGCTGAAGAGCAGCCGCTGTGCTGGGAAAAATCGTTGGACGTCGATGCAAGCTGGTCCACACCAGAGCTGGGGGGGGTTGGAGAGCGGGTGGAAAGACCCCACAAGAAAGGCAGAGACAAAAACCATGCTTCTGCCTCGCTGCATTTTGGCCTAAAAGTCAATAACCTCACAGAAAAACGCCTTCCCCGTATCCACGTCAATGGAGACGTTATTAATTAGGTTTACGTCCACTTTGAGTTCTCGGGGCTCTGTTCTGGCTTCCTGTCTCTCGGAGAACAGACTGTAAAACACTCTGCTTGTGTTCTGGTCTCTTGATGGTCTAAAGTCCGTCTCTGGACCAGCTGGACTCTGAGAACCAGGTTCTGGTCTCCTGCTGGGGCCAAGAACCACAACCAGAACCAAACCAGGAGGGGGTTTGATTAAGTTTTATGCTCCTGAAATCTGGATCAGTCTTCCAGAAGAGGTCAGACAGACCTGAAATCTGGATGTTACAATCTGGGTTAAAAACATTTGCTTCACTGAATATATTTTATTTGCACCCTTCACCTCTAATCTTTTTAATTTTGTTGATACCATTTCTTTCTTTTTCTGCCTCTAAACTCTTTATAAAGCACTTTGAATTGTTTTTTTACACTAAATTTACCACACAAATACCCTGGCCTTGCCCCTCTGAGGACTCTAACTTCCTCAGTACTGTTGTGTTGTGTTTCTGTTCTCATCCTCTGGATCAGCGTGGCGTGCAGCGTGTGTCCGTCTGCACACGCGTGATGGCCCCATCAGCACTAAGGCGTGGCATCGCATTGACAGGGCCTGTGGGGCAAATGGAGGCCTGGCACAGGGCCCGCATCCAGCCGCCCGCTGCCCGTCTATTCCCTCCTCCTCTGCACATGTTCCACTCCTCTGTCACCGGCGTGTGAGAAACCCTGATCTACCACAGGGGACGCTCTCAGCCCCCTCAAGCCTGGATCCAACCCAACAAACGGGGAATCTGGGGAGTTTGAGTCAATCGGTATCCGTTTTCTGACCCTTCCTTGCTTCGACCGCCCCCCCCCCCCCATCTGTTCAGAAACTGTTCACCAAACTTCAGATTACAGACGAGGAGCTGCTGAGTGAAAGGTGACCATGGAGGCTGAGTGTCAGCGAGACAAACACCAACAATGTGCCAAGAGAAACTGGCAGCACCGGTTAAACTCCCTAAACTACGTGTCTAGATTATTTATCCAAGTGTTCAGGCATCTATCTGCAAGACGTAATCTTAAAAGCATCCGACCACCTGTTGGAAGGATGGAAAAGTCTATATAAAAAGCTGTTAAGCCCCAAAGGGAAGCGGCTAAAGGCTCCTTTTCCTCTCAGAATCAGCTTAAACTTCATCTCTCTGCTCCTGATAGCAGCTTCCATTCTTCTTCTGGTGGGTTTTCTCTCCTCTCTGACAGTTTGTCTGGTTATTGAGTCCCTCAGAGTTTCCAGATGTTCCCTCAGACCTGCTCTGGGTTACACTTTTGTGTGATCAGTCTCTGAATCTCCTGAGCTGCTGGTGGATGTCTGCAGGCTTCTCAGCAGCTCTGCTTCCCTTTCAGCCTTTTTCTGTCAGTCAGAGAATTTCTAAAACAAGATCTCCTTGTGGATGTTTTATGCGTGTCTGGTTTAATTTAGTCTCTGTGTTCATTTTATGGCAATTTTTCTTCATGTGTTATTTTGGTTATTTTTTTATGAAATATTATGATTTGATGTGTGGATTTCAGTGTTGGGTAAGTTACTTTGAAAATGTAATCCGTTACAGTTACAAGTTACCTTGTTTAAAATGTAATTGTAGTGTAACTTTTTCGATTACTTTTAAAAAGTAATGTAACTGATTACTTTTGATTACTTTTTGATTACTTTAAGGTTTTAATGAGTATCGACCCATGATTCATTTTAGCATGTTATTATTAGCTATTGGCCGCAGCTAGCAGTTCAAGGCTAACGTCTTGTTAATTATCATAAACAACGTAAATAAATACATAAATAAATCGGAGACAAGTCAGTCGTATCCGGATACAACATTTTAGTATCGATACTTTTTAAAGTATCGATACTTTTGACAACCCTAGTCTGAAATGTAGGACATGTCCGGGAAAAAGAGCACGTCTGGTCACCTACAGTTGGGTAGGCTAGGCTAGGCTAGGCTAGGTCATAGACACCGATAAACGTTTGTCATGCATCAACACCAAACAGTCAAATATTAGTAAATCAATACGCTTCGTCTATCAGTGAGTTGCATATTTTCCAAAGGTTTTTCTTTATATTTTTAAAAAAATGTAACTAAATTTGTAATTCTTAATATTTTCGGAAGTAACTGTAACTGAATTACATATTTTCTCATTGTAACTGTAACGAATTACAGTTACTCTTTTTTTGTAATTAAATTACGTAACGTCGTTACATGTAATCCGTTACTCCCCAACACTGGTGGATTTTATCTAGTCAAACTTCAAACGCCGTTCCTGCTTTTCTCCCCACATCTCACCTGTTTTCTTTGCCGTTCTGAAGCAGGTTGTGTCTGTCGGTGCTGGATCGGTCCGTGCACACGTACGTGTTCCTTCGAGTCATGGCGCTGGCAGGGACGTTATTCTGGGGAGAGAAAATCACCACAGAAGTTATAAATCTGTTCACTTATTAAACGGAATAGCATCTAACGTTCCCCACAGCTGCAGTCAGAGCTATGATGACCTGTTTTTACCTGGTCGTCACATTTAAGAGTTAATCTGAGGATCATCTGACCTCTGTCGGGCTCCAGCCTTACAGGGTTAATATTCAGCAATTATCTAATTGCAGCCAACTTTAAATACAACATCCAGAGTTAAAGATCTAAGCTTTTGTGAACATATGCATGATGCACCTCTGCTCCCTGGACCTGTTTGGCTTTGAGATGCTTTGACACGAAGAAGACTGGTTACACATATGGCAAACATAGCACAAATATAAATCTACCCCCCGAACCTGTTGGCAAAAATGTGGGGAGACGAATGTGAACTATGCACATGTTTTTTGGCTTTGCCCTGGTTTGGTTACATTTTGGGATGATGTGCATTGTACAGTTGTTGCAATATTTGGCAACCAGATACCCAAAACATTCACAGTGTTGGATATTGGAAATTTCTCAGGACATATTTTGTGTAAATCTGACAGGTGCCCGTTTAAAATCCTGATGGTTGCCAGTAAAAAAAACAATCACCAAAAAATATGAACAAAGAAGACCCCCCGGACAAAGAGGACTGGCTGAAAAGTGTTAAGTACAAATATGTCATGGAGGACAACAGATAAGACTAAAGATGGACTCCTGTGTGGAAAAATGGACAAAGTGGACTATTTACATTGCAGTGACTAATTGAACATATGGGACATTGTTTACCAGCTTGAGTCATATCCCAATCCGGACAGTATATAGTTTTGTTTATGATGTGTGTGTGTTTGTTTTTTCCTCTCCTTTTTTCTTTTTCACACCTTGTAATTGTCAACATAGAAGAATAAAGTAAAAAAAAAAAAAGAAAAAAAGATGCTTTGACAGGAATAACTGAAACGTTCCACCTCTGTCTCTGGACCAGTGCGTCCTGATTAAGCTTTGGTAAGACAGGCCGGGCTGGACTCACCGTGGTGGAGTTTACTTTGCGGCGGTCGGGTATTTCGGCTTTGTTGGGGTTGTGAGCGGAGCTGACCATGGGGCTGGAGGGGGTCGGGATGCTACGGGAGCCTACAGTGGTGGCCCCCGGTTTGCGTATCGACAGACGCTCCTCCTTAAGCCCCGCCCCCTCGCCCACACCGCTGGGGCTTCGCTTGGGGTGTGCCGAGCCTGGAGCGGCGGGACCGCCTGACGGGGTAAAAAAAAAGGGCCTTGGTGAGACATCTCTTGGACGTCTCTGAGCCGACCCCGTCTCCGGGGTGGAGGCCGTGCTTACAGAAGTCGGAGTGCCGTCTCTGGCGGTGGTAGGTGGACGCGCTGCGCTGCGCCTTCTGGCCGGAGGAGGTCGAGGCGGCGCCGGAGGAGGACGAGGACGTGGAGTGCTTGCTGGTTCCGTTGGAGAGGGTGCCCTGCCGGACCCGGGCCAGACTCAGGCTGCTGCCCGACCGGGACACGCTGCCCTCCGTCTGAAGGCACAACAAGGAGAAAAGTGAGGCTCTCAGGGTGGAAAAGTAGGAAATCGTTTATATGACAGCCAGTTTAATGGGTTAATTTCCCCAGGCTGCTCGGTCTGATCGGCCCACCTCGTTCTTGCGTCCCAGCAGCAGGTAAGTGGAGGTGATCTCGTTGTACTTCTGACTGACCAGCGACTCTCGGACTTCTTCTCTGTTGAATCCCATCCCGACCATCACATCTAAAATAGGCAAAAGAAGTCAGAAAGGGTTTCCTTTCTCTGTCTCCACAGACGGGAGCCACGTACAGAGTGTGGGCTCATGTAAAACCAGCACAGGTCTGTGGTCTACATACACACAGAGCTCGGAGCACAGTGCAGAGGGGAAGCCAAACGTTTGGAGCCCCGATCTTACTTAGCCCTTAATCCACTTCAACTGCAAACGGTTCAGACACTGGTTCAGTTCTGGTAGAAATAAAGGAACTGGGTTCTCACCGATGCGGCTGGTGTCATTCAGGTCCTCCACGGGCTCCACGTGAGGCTTCAGCTCGTTGCTGTCGTAGCCGATGTTAATCCACTTGTCTTTCATTATTTGCTGATGTTGAAAGAGTAGAAAAAGAAATGGTTGCATTTTAAACCACCAGACTCAAATATTCAGAGCTGAACAAATTCATGGGACCAGAGCTGAACTCTGCTGATGGGAGGGGGCTCAGAGGGAAGAAGGGCCGTTTTCAGGTGGTCTGATATAGTTGCAAAGCTCTGTACATCAAACTGCCCTGGAGACGCTCCCTGCCTCACCTCCAGGGAGCAGCGCTTGGTGGGGTTGAGGACCAGGAAACGGCGCAGGATTCCCTCACAGTCTGTGGACATGTAGAAGGGCACTCGGTACTTCCCCCTTAAAACCCGCTCACGCAGCTCCTGCAGACGACAGAAACCACAGTTGGTAGGGATAGAAAAAACATCGATAAAAAGCAGCAGTTTAAATAAAGTTGAACCCTCTGGGATTTATAGTACAGTTAGATTCTTTGGAATCTTCTTTAGTGTCCTTTTCTGAGGCTTTACAAATGTTTATTTCATTCCGACATAGTGTAATAACACACAGTACCTACAATCACGCAAAAAACATGAAATCCAAGCATGAAAAACACCTTTTAAATAACCATTTTTATAACTTAGAATGCGAATCAAGCTGCCACAAAAACAAGCTATGAACGTCAGAAAGCTCACAGATGTCAAACCTTTGTTTAATTTACCAACTTTTTGCTCATAATTTTATGATTTCGCTGTGCGCAGCTGTGATTGGTTTAACTTTCCCGGGCTCACAGAGGATTGGCCACTCGGATGGGCACCTATAAAGACCCCGCCTCCCTCTCTTCCCAACCAGCCACATTTTGGTCCCGACCTTCCAAATCTACACTTTTTTTTCAGGAGTTTGTTTGTTGGGGGGCAGCCATTTTGTTTCTGTTTGTTATATTTTGTTTTGTCAAAGCACGGGGAGAAGTTTCTGTTTGTCCTCCTGGTTTAGAAGTTTTCTGTACGTCTTTAAAAAGCCTGTGTGGGTGCTTGAGACTCCAAGAAAACTAGTAACCAGCCAAATATGCTGGTGTCAGATGGTTTTCTGATTGGTTTTTCTTTTTACTGCTTCTTCCTGCTCCAAACGTCCAGAGCAGGGAAAAGCAGAATGCAGTCTGATGATTTAGGAGCTGCTTTAACGTCTGAACCTGGACTTTGGACAGAGTCTGGACCAGAGACTGGGCAGGGCTGCGTCTGGATGCCTTAAACCTGAGCCCCTACCTTCAGGTTCTGTCCGTCGAAGGGCAGCGACCCGCTGACCAGCGTGTACAGGATGACGCCGAGGCTCCAGATGTCCACCTCCGGCCCGTCGTACTTCTTCCCCTGGAACAGCTCCGGGGCGGCGTAGGGCGGGGAGCCGCAGAACGTGTCCAGCTTGCTGCCCTCGGTGAACTCGTTGCTGAAGCCAAAGTCGGCGATTTTGATGTTGGAGTCGGCGTCTAACAGCAGGTTTTCCGCCTGGGGGGGTCGAAACAAAACGGCCACGACGCAACAACGTCAATGACAATTTCAATTCCGGCTGATGTTATTCTCAAAGAAGGAGTCAATTACCTTCAAGTCTCTGTGAACAATGTTCTTCTGATGGCAGTAGTGCACCGCCGAGACAATCTGAGGACAGAAGGACACAGAAGGGCCTCAAACAGCCGACAATCGCAGGAGCTGCTACGTTCCAGCTCTTATCCTGGCTGAAAATATCAATTTCTATTCAAATCTGAAGAGTGTAATCACAGCTATTGTCTGCGTCATTGTAGATTTTGATGAGGGATTTCGTGCATTTAGGCTACAAACAATGAATGATATGAATTAGAGGAGTTTTCCTGACCTGTCTGAACTTGGCTCTGGCCTCCTTCTCCTTCATTCTGCCGTGAGCCACGAGGTAGTCGAACACTTCGCCTGGAGGGACACAAAAACATGAGAAGGCAGTGGAAAATGTGCTCGTTGAACTGGAGGCTCACAGAGGCAGAACTTCTGCCCTTTTTACACCAAATCGGCCTCTCACAACAGGACGCTGGGCTGAACTTCTAGAGAAAACGATCCGGTGGAACTAAAACTCTGCGTCACACTCTGACAGCAGCGACTATTTTCCAACACAAGATAAATCAGTGTTGATCAGCGCGTTAGGACGAAACTATCGAGCTCTGTCGCTGACCTCAATAGTTCTTCCAGGGCTTCTGGCACTGAGGTGAATATCCCCAGTCATTCCATTCGCCTTTCAATTCACATTCAAAACAACCTTCTCTGGTGAAAACAAGTATAATAAACATTTGTAAAAATATCTGTACCTGGCGGCTTATTTCAGCCTCAGGAATAAACTTAAAAATATAACTAAAAATCTATATTTAAAAAGCTTTAAAAACAAATTGCATATTATTTATCAAATTATTTAGTCTGTCATTAATACCCATTGATGCACTTTTTTCTTAAATCCCCCCCCCCCCTTTTTTAATTTTTTATTTTTTTTTTAAATTTTTAAATTTTACATTTTTATTTTTTTCTCTCACTTTTAATCTTATTCCTCTGGATTTTATTTGGGAAGGCTTATCCATGTGTACTGTACGACTTATGTTCGGTTCTGTTATAAAAAAAAGTCTACATATCTTGTTCATATATTTTTGCGCATTCTGTATTTTGACGTTTAAACCTAATAAAAAAAATTAAATTAAATTAAATTAAATTTTTAAAAAAAAATTGCTAGACATTCAGAATCTCAGACATTTCAATATCTAAGATTGTGAAAAGTAAAGACAGTAAAAAAAAAAGGGAGCTGCAAAAATAGATGAGTGCACGGGAAGCAGTGTCTCAGAGCAGGATTAGCAGATCTCCCATCCGACTAATGAAAATTGGGCATATGCGATAAATCAATTAGCTAATTGGGCTCAACGGCGCAGAGATAACGAACGCCTGGCGGCAGAGGGACGGCGCTCACCTCCGCTGGCGTACTCCATAACCAGGTAGAGCGTCCTCTCCGTTTCAATCACCTCAAACAGCTGGACTGTAGACACACACACACACACACACAGGGACACGTCAGCACATGCCCCACACCCCCCCACCTGGGCACCCTCCCCTTTGTTGTGGGTCTCACCTATGTTGGGGTGGTTGAGAGTTTTCATGATCCGTACCTCTCGAAACAGCTGAAAGAGAGACAGGAAAAACCATGAGGGCTAAAGGGAAATCGGCTGTTTTATTAGAGTTGTTAGCACAAAACCGGCACTCGGGCACACAATCTCAGACGTTTTTCAGGATTCAAACTAGAAGCTGCGTCACACGGACGCACAAACGAGGGTTAAAGCCTCGGTTCTTTGGGACAGAAACCCTCTGCATGCTTTCAGCCCCTCGTCCTTTAACCCTATAATGCCAAATGTGTCATATTTGATAAAAACGGTTTTTGAAGTCTTTTGGATCTGAGACTTTTTGCATCATTAAAAAGGTAAAAGCTTTGCTCAAACCCCTGTTGTACACATTCAGATATACCTGATAACAGCCAGTAGAAGACTACACCAAAATACATTTCTGACTTATTGCACGCTAATTTGATCAAAATAATTTCTGTTTTTTTTTCTTCATATGTTGTTGAGGGGCCAAAGAAAGACTTCAGACTAAAAAAAATCCAATATTCTTCCTATTTTTCTTGGATCAGGCTCTAAAGGGTTAAGCTCCTCACAGCTGGGGAACACAAACCCCCGCAGACACATGTGCTCCATCACACTCTGCCCCCCCCCTTGTGGACCCCCCCCCCCCCCCCACCTCATCCATCAACCGGGCTCCAAACTGCTGCCTCATCCGGCCACTCCGACACCCTCTCTCTTCTTCTTCTTTGTCTAATTAAAGTAATGCGTTTACCTCCTTTTAAGAGATTACGGGGGGAATGCGCAGAGGCACTGACACCGCCACAGAGGCAGAAAGCTTTCGCAAAACCACGTCAAAACATTCATTAGCTGCTGGGTTTCGGTTATTAGTGACACGGTGAGGCATTTCGCCCCCTGGGGGGAGAGTTCACGCCTCGCTGTGAGGGGTTTGTGTGCATAATACGACAAATGGGTGTGATACAAATGGAGCGAGTGAGCAGGACACAAAACAGAAATAGAGAAGGGGGACAATTATTGGCGCATTATGAGCTGTAAAATGCACAAAAACAAACCTACAAAGCAGGAAATAGCTGTCAAATCTATTTGCACATGTCAATTGTTCATTTGTACATTCGGATCTATATTTTTAAAGATTGTATTTTTCAGTTTTATCATTTCTGTCCTATATTTTTATTTCTACATTTTATTTCTTGCTTCTCATAGAAGTGTTGTGCACCAAACACCAAGGCAAATTCCTACTTGGCAATAAACCTTATTCTGATTCTGATTCTGATTATTTAGAGCCTTCATTTTACCGAGCAGGCTTTGAATTTACAAAATAAACCGAAACAATAGAGGGTGAACATGTGGGAATAAGGGAATGACACAATACAATTAAACTCTGTATCACTGTGGGAAGTTGTGTCTCTGTTGGCTGTTAGATTTTTTTGCAGATAGCAGGATAAATCAAACATGCAGGAAGCTGAACGTGGCAGGAAGGTGTGGCAGGAACCTCCAGAGGGCTCCAGGATCCTCCATTTAGCTGACACTGAGCTCCCGTTTCCCATGAGGATCAGGGAGAGAAATGCTTTAAACTCCCTCCGTTTTCTCTTTTTTGTCCCTGCTCCGCATCATAGAGGTCTACTCCTTTTTTTAGTCGTTTCTCCTTCTTCGGAAGGCTTCAGTCAGCTTCTCTCCTGTTTCCGTTCCAGGTTGAGTGCAAACACGTGGGACAGAACAGTCTGCAAGGTCCAGAGCTTTGTTCAAGGATGTGAGCAGATAAGCAGGAGCACGTTCAGAGATAAGAGCAGCCACACTGAGGCTCCAGAGAGCTGGGAGAGGAGAGGGGTTTGGGGTTGGTTTCTGCTAAAGCCGAGCCGGGTTTTGCTTTTCTGGCCGTGAACTTTTCATCGTAAAGAATAATTTATACGTCCTTTATAGCAAGTGGAGGCGAGAGAAGAAAGGATGAGACGGAGAGGGGCTGAATGTGAAAGGGGAGGAATGCACCGATGCTTTCATTCTAATTAGAGAGCTCCAGCTGCCCCTGGAAACACCCCCTCCCCCAGCGGGAAACAAAGCGGGGCAGGACGACCCAGACTGGAGCTTATGGGACAAATATTATATATCAGAGGGGCTCAATTAGCATATTTATTAGAATTATTCCTGCCTTGGGGCCATTTGAGAAACTTCCACCTGAAAAATAGTGTCAGGTTTGTAAACATGGACAAACGGAGTCTGCAGTGCTGGAAATCCTGAGCTTCTGTCTGTGGAAATTATTATTAAGAAAATAAATAAATAAATAGGCAATTTAAGCTTTTGTGGTTCAAGTCGCGGCTGCTTTTCTGCGTTTTCTGTCCTTCTGGCCCACAGACGTCTCCGTTCTGGAGCTGCTGTGTGATGATTTCTGTGTGTGCTCTCTGGATTGGAGGCGGTTATTGTTTCTCGGTTTTCCTCAGAAGAAGCCACATAGCTATAAACACAGACACGGCCCCACTGGGAACGTGTGTAATTGAATTAAGTGCATCAGCTGTTCATCTGAGCTTCACCAAGAATCCTCAGCCCACTCTCCCCCCCTTCACCTTCTCCTTTTTCTGCTGCTTTACCTTTTTTTCTGCTTAAATGGTTCAATTGCTGAGGAATCCAACCTTCAGCCGCTGTCTGATGAAACATTTACGAAGCTGGGAGTTGTTTTCTCCCAGAAAACGAAGGGAAGGAGACCATTAAGATCCAGAAATTTCCCCCCAAAATAGTTACTTATCGAATCAGCGAAGGTGGTGCAGCATTCAGAACAATGACGGCTTTTATTGTAACTCCAGGTCCCCGTCTGAGGGGTTACAGGTTTAAAAAAAAAAAAGAGTTTCTGAACAGCAGCATTCAGCCACAGTGCAACCTGCCGTCTTCCTGACATTTATATTGAATCAATTCCTGTTTCCCTCCCTCGGGGATGGCCCTGCATGACAGTTGCCGTGCACACCCAGGTGTTAATCCCCCGGCCGGGGTATTGTGCTCCCGGGGGGGTTTGGGAAGTCGTGGAACGCCTAATGAAAGCCCATCCCTCAGGTTTCTGTTCGTCCCCGGTTCCTCTCACCTCATTTAAGGGGGAATGATTCAGCCGGGGAGCCTCTAACCCCGACCCCCCCCCTTTAAGCACATTAATGACAACAAAACAAAATTATTTAAAGATGCTTTTTAACCCTAAGTCAATGCAGAGGAACATAAAGAGAAGGAAAAGCAACATTGCTGCAGTTTGGACCTGTAAAAGATCAAATCTGATGTATTTCTGATTATCGATCACGTTCCAAAGTGGGAGTTGTATTCCACAAACTGTTCAGAGACACAATTTTGGTTTAATGTTTTGCTTGCTTCCATTGATGAAGCTCTGACCTCAGGTTGAATTGTTCATTGTGAGGAGTAATGAAGGAAAACTCTTCTGTTTATTTACTGAGTTCAAATTCATTTTTCTCAGGTGAAGTAATCCTGTGTTTTCCATCATCTTCGGTTACACATCTAATTTGTGGAGTAAAAGCTGGGTTTGTCATCGTTTTCCAGAGTTTATAAGCAGGATAAAAGAAGCTCAGCCACACAGAAAAAGCAGCGTTTGGGTGGATGGACGCGCAGGCAGACAGGAACCGTTAGCTGTGATGTCATAGCAACGCTTAAAGTGGCATCAGGGGAGAATCCCGCTCATATTCCAGAGGCATCACTTTGAATTGGCCACCTCTGCGGGGCTGAAACTCCCAGCATCCTTTGCTCTGGAGCAGAGATCCAGCAGCTCGGGCCTCCTCTCTTCCTCCCCTCTTCCTCTTCTCTTCCTCCTCTCTTCGAGAGCTTTTCTAACAGGCCTGAACAAGAACAACTGCTAACACAGTTATTACCGTGTTAGCCCGTTTAGGCCGGCTAGCGTTAGCAGCAACCGGAGCTCTGAGGCCTGTTTACGCGGGGAGCCGAAACATTAGAGTCATGACTCAGCTTGATGGAATAAGCAGCTTTGCAGCTACTTTGAAGGTATTAGCTAAACAAATAGCAACATTTGAGGGCGTCCTACTCTCCCTGTGCCGCTGTGTTGACGACCAGCTGGGGGGGAGAACTTTGTGTTTTTGCTCTGTCTGCACGCCGCTCCCTCCGTTGTTCAGTTATTCCCTCACAGACGGATGGGCTTAGTCACAACAATGCACACGGCAGGCACGTTGTTATTATTATTGTTCTGCACAGACACCCTCACAGGGACAGCATGCAGAGTACAGCACCAGCCCAGGTAATCGCAGTACACGTACAGGAAGCCTCTTCCCTCTGGAGCTCGTCTTACTAGGGTCCCTGCCGCCGTGCGGGGGGGCCACAACCCCCCTCCCACCTCCTCAGCCCACCGCCATCGCCTCTTTTGTCAGCCTGTCTGGAATTTAGCTCCTGGCTGAAGGGGCCTGGGCAGGGGACAAAGCAGGCTTCACTCGGATGCGCAGAGCTCCCTGAAGAGGCAGCCCCCCCCCCCCCACCACCACATCAGGGGGGTAAAAGTTCAAGAACAAGAGCACACAGCCTGAGAAGTTTGTTTTCTATTCCCACCACACGCATCGTTTCCACTTGTGGCAAATTTCCTCACCATGCAATCAACAGCCCAAAGCAAGACGTGAACTTGAACGCACCGCGGAGGCGTGCCGCTCTGCAATCTCTGCAGATACTTACACAAATACACAAACTTCCACAGATGCACAACGGGCAGCATCACAGGGCTTTTCCTGACAGAACACAAGCACACTGACGTCACAATGTTGGAAATCTAACATCTAATTTATCTCTTCTTTAATCAGTATCATTTTCTTTATAAACCACACATTCCAACAAAGTTGGAATAGACAAAATAAACATAAATAGTGAATTTAAATCTAAAGCATAACAAAATACAATAAAATTCATTTTAAGTAATTAATGCTGTGCGAAAAGCCAAAGAGACAGGAGAGTTTGAACCTTTTTAAGACCATCCTCTCGCCTCTGACAGGATTCAGAATGTGTGCTTCTCGTTACTCTGACTCCATGAAGATAAAGATGGCTGCTCGGCCAAAGCTCTGCTAAGGTTTCAGAAGGAAACCCGAAAACCAAAAAGTGTTTTGTTTTTTTAAAGAAAACCAAACAAACCGGACCGCATTTCCCCCTCTGCTGAAATTCAATTATGTTCTCACAAGCTCCAGTCCAAGTTTGTGGGATTAGCAGCAGTCCTAAAGGGTCAATGATCGGCTTAAAGCCCTCATTTCCATGGAGTAAGATGGTAAAAGTAAGTAAAACTAAATCTTTTAATCTTTTTTCCTGATTCCGTCAGCATGAGCTGGGTTTCTGAGATGTTTCAGACCCAAATGTTGCTGATATTGTGACAGTAAGTCTTCTTAGGAGCTTGTTTTTGCTCTAAACTGAGCTGTCCAGTTGGAGTCTGCGGCCCAGCAAAAAACTCAGGAGTCGCTTTAAGTTTTTTATTCAGCGTCTCGTTTGTTTATTCTCATTAACGAAGGTATCAAAAGGAGACAAAAGAGTTTGAAAGAGGCTGGAAATGCTGAGATTCCAAAGAAAAAAAACATTTTACCATTTGTACTTAAAAGCTTTGTCGTTATATTGATTTAGGAAAAACTAAAAAATGTACTTATTCACTATTTAAGAGTTCGGGTCAGTGTATAGATCGATCGAAGGGGTAAAACATAATCAGCCACCAGCTTCAGTGGCATCGGTACGATGTTCTGGTTACCTAACCAGCTGAGAAGTCATCAACTAGCCGGCATGCGGGTATTGATCGGGGAGACGCGGGTGTGTTTGCGGGGCGATAAAGCAAACTCAGTGTGGGACCCGGCCAAACTTTGGGCCGCCGGACAAAGAGCCGCTTGTACAAACTGTGAGAACAGCGATCAAAACTGCTTTCAGGGCTGAAAGGTCGGTTAAAACGCTGAGAAAAATAACACAGAGAGATTTCCAGGGTTTCAGGTACAACCCCTTAGAAGCTCCTTGATTTTTAGTGTACAGATTTGAAACTAAAGTAGCTTTAAAAGACTGAGTTGTTGCACTACATGTAGTTAAAACATGACATGTGGTGCATTCAAGGACCCGAGAATAGAAGCACTTAGGAGCTGCTTTAACAAAAAAAACAGCTTCCCAAAACTACTGTAGAATAATATAAATCCTTTTTTCCACTTGAAAAAAAATCCACGTTTTAACCGACCTTTCAGCCCTGAAAGCAGTTTTGATCACAGTTCTCACCTCTCCTCGGGTCCTTGAATGCACCACATGTAATTAAAACATGACATGACTCTGGAGCCATTAGCCCTGGTGGTTCCAGTCAAAAGGCTGGATTAGTGACGGTCACACCATCCCCACACAAAGAGCAGCTCTGCGGCCCCAACGCACAAATGCCCGCTTTAAAGATTTAAATCCACCATAAAAACTGGAAGGACGAGCTTTTAATCAAACAGTGGGCCGACCGCCCCCAGACGCCTCCCGAGACGAGGCCGTTACGGCTCCCTGTAACCAGCAAAAGGTCAAAGGTCAAACGGCTACTGCAAACAGAGACCCAGTGAAAGTTATGACCAGAACAACAACACGGCGGTGCGTTCAAGGACTTCCCCTCAAATCCACATAAACACTGTCAGACCTTTGTTACATCTTTAAATTAAAATGAGGACATTTTGGCCTCCAACTACTTCCCCTTCAAAGAAAACCTGTTTTTTTTTTTGTATAACTTAATGTGAACTCGTAAATCCACCGGCGTGATGAATGAATAACTCAATAAACAGACCACTCACCTTCACCAGGCTGGTTGGGTTGAGCTGTGTTTTATCTATGATCTTTATAGCCACCTAGGAGGGAAAGACAGTAAGTTTATGTTAAAATAAAGACATGAAGTCATCAAAACAGAGTAAAACAGAAATGTAGGGTTGATTTTTCTGTGATTAAAACTCATAAGGTGGAATTGATCTGGGTTAATATAAAAAATGAGGATGAAATCTGGGTATTTTTTCTTAAAAACAGAGTTTCAATATCAGAAATCTAGACTAACTTGTCCAAATACTGTTTTTAAACTTTCCCTTGCTAGGTGCGTCAGGTCTAATGGAAATTATCTTTAAAAACTTCGGTTTGTGATCAGCGTTTCACACAAAAGACGTGGAATAACGATCCGTGTGTCAGAGGGAGGGCGACGTTCGGCCTGTTTTCCAGCATTTACAGGGCAGAACAGCCTGAGAGGGGCTGTAAACGGCCGGTAGGTGACCGCCTCCCGCTTAAGGCGGGGCGCACAGACTCTGACCGGCCCGGAGAGATCGTCTGGGCCGATGTGGGTCAGGAGGGTTTGTGAGAAGAAAGAGTCCAGTGTGTGAAAAAGGCAGAGACGTGAAGCTGGGTCGCTTTCCCCCTGAGGTCCAAACACATGTCTCCCAAACAAGAAGACCTTTCAGGGCCTCCTGACGCACAAAGCCCCCCCGGGGGGGCGGGCGTGGACCCACCTCTCTGCCGGTTAATATGTGCCTGGCCAGCTTGACTTTGGCGAAGTTCCCCTTGCCGATGGTCTTCAGCAGCCTGTAGTTGCCGATGTGCGGCTGCTCGTCGGAGCACAGGGCGATGGAGTTACGGCATCTGGCGCCCAGCGAGCGGCTGGACCAGCCCGTGCCCTTCTCCGAGCGGCTGGCCGACAGCGAGGTGTGCTGGGGGGGGCAGAGGGAGCATAAGCATCAGCAAACGCAGCCAACGGGCCAAGTCACAGCCCCTCCACCGGCAAAAGATACCAGATTTAGAAAATATCAAAGGGAAAAAGACATGTTTCAAGTTCTTCAATTTCCATATACATTAGCATTAGCTTCTGTAACCCACAGGTCTGTGTACTAACCACTATGTTGTTATTAGAGAAAATCCCTGTTCAACATGAGTCTGACAACTAAGTAAGTAGATAAATAACTTTAAACTTTAATACAGGCTCTGATAGGGCGGGATCAGATCAGATCGGAAGTGCAAAAAGCTATATCGGGACATCCCTAATATATATATATATATATATATATATATATATATATATATATATATAAACATACACACAAACATACACATATAGAAATATAAGTACACAGAGCTTTATGCATGCATATATATTCTAACCAGCTGGAAAGATAAATAAGTCAGATAACTCTGAAAATAACATCAGGATCAGTGAAGGCATTCATGTGGATTTTTAAAGGGTGAATAAGAGTCTAAATGACTGGTGAAACATCCACAGAGCCACGGACAGCCTTGTGACCACGGCGGTGGCTCCGCAGCCATGTGACCAGGGCCTGGTACCGAGGAGCCTGGGGAGCCGGGACCACCTCCCCTGACCCCCCCCCCAGGCCTGCGTTCCTCACATTCCCGGCTGTCGGTGAGGCTGGACGACAGCAAAATGCCCCCATACACGTCTCCAGACAAAGTCTGATCAAACAAAACTTTGGCGACCCCTCTGCAGTACCTCCGGACCCCCTAGGGGCCGCGGACCCCCTGTTGAAGACCTCCGCTCTGGTCAGCTGGTCAGAACCTGGTGGACCTTCTGGGCTTTATTACAGATTTAAAGGGCAGTTCTTTATGTCCCGTGCTGCTCCAGGAGTAAAGTTTTATTTTTCTATATGTGCTCTAATGTGGTGTCCAACCAGGCAACCCCCCCACCACCTCAAGTCCACCTCATTTGGACTTGAAAAAGGGGTTTTCTCCCCTCAGAGAAGCTTGGGACGAACACCACCCCTCTCTGGGAGTCGGGGTTAGAAAAGTTATTTGTCCTCGTTCTGTAGAGGAACTGAAACTGGCCTCTTGTTTTTAAAGATTGGCCTGATCTCTGTAGACTCTGCTGATGGACACAAACCTTCTCCCTCCTCCTCCTAACTGCTGGTTTCCAGGACTCACTGAGGAGCCCCCAGCTTCATTTTCACCTCCTCCTCAACCTCCCCCCATTAACTCCCCCCTCCCCGTCCCTCCCCTCCCCCAGGCCGACGCCTCTCCTCCCGTCCCTCGCCCGGACACACCCTCTCTTTTGTTTCCTACGGCCATTTTCATACTCAGAGTCTTTGATTCCCCCCCCCACTCCAGCTGCAGAGGTGTGCAGATGTGGGGTCAAACCTCCTCCCTCCATCACTAAAGATGTCAGTATGGAGGATGGCAGAGCGGATATCACAAATACTTCCATCTTTCATCTATACAATGGTTCTTTTTTTTTTTTTTATATAAGAAACAAAAGTGTCTAAAAATAGGTAAATAAATTAAAAACAATAAATTGGAGAAACCTTATAAAAAATATACAAAAATAAGTAAATAATGCTTTTGTTGAATTTCTTTTTAAATCAAATAAAAACATTAAAATAAACAACAACAATAATAATAATAATAGTCCCTGACCCACCCAGCACTACTCAAGTTGTCCGATATCCTGAGCCAGGAAATAAATAATTTAATTTCCTAAAATGACTGAATGATTTCTACTACATAAAGAGGATTCTGCTGTGCTTTTAGAGGCCATTCATCTGTTCCTGTGCTGTTTTCACCAGACATCAGTAGTTATTTTTATCTCAGGACAAACTTGTTACTGGGATCGTTGTGCTCATATCAGACGCTGACAGCTCCGGGTTTCCGTCCGAGGAGCTTTGGGGAATGTCAGACTACAAAAAGATGGAAAGTGTGACGAACACAGACCTTTCCAAACAACAAGCCCCGCCCACAGGCGGCGTGCGCTGGCGTGAAGGTATTGAGTACAGAACAGGAAGCCTGACGTCAGCTCAGACACAGGAATGGAGTAATCCCCACCTCCTCCAGTACACACCGACGGGCCAGTAGGACTTCCCACACACAAACTTCCTCTATTACACACAACACAACAAACAAAAGGGGCGTGTGGCTGAGCAGAGGCCCGTTTGTCCGATTCCCGACCGCCGTTTCCTACTCTGATTAGACCGATCTGGGCATTTTTCTTTCAAACAAATGGAGAAAAGGAAGGAGTGTGTTTAGGAAAGAGTTTGCGAAATAGAGAAATAGAGGCAGCTTCTGCCTCGCTGGGGGGGTCAGCGGAAGGGATTCCTTGCCTGAGGGATGTGAAACAGTAAAGCTTTGAAGGCTCAAAAGGAAAAACAGAAGGTTTCCTTTTGAAGTTTTAGGGAAATGCGGTCCAACAAAACCCAGACCGCATCGTTCAGGACACCCAAGAAAACAACCGTCCACAGTTTAGGACCCAAACTAGGCTGGTCCCGATCCAATATCTGGATATTTGCAAAAAACTGCGTATCGGCCGACAGGAGAAAATGCAGATCCAGACTCCAGATCCAATTTTCTTTAAAGTCCGATCCCACACGAGCATTAGCATTAGCATCTCTTAACCCACAGGTCTGTGTCCTAACCATTAAGTTGTTATCAGAGTAAATCCCTGTTCAACATGAGTCTGACAACTAAGTAAGTAGAATAAATAACTTTAAACTATAATACATGCTCTGATAGGCCGGGATCGGATCGGAACATACCTTACCCAAACAAAACATATTTCAGATAAACTAAAACAAAACATGGGCTCTGCTTTAATTACTTAAACAGGACTCAAACTCCTCTGTGAGCCGCTGTCCTGCAGGTTGGAGATGTTTCCAACACACCTGATTCACATCAAGGCAATTGAAGAACTTTCTAATCTGTATCCATCACAAAAAGCTGGACGTGTCCAGCTGAAAACATCTGGATGCCCTGTCCTGTAACAGCTCAGGACCATCGGGGGACGCTGTGAGAGCTGAGCTTGCATCACTTCCTGTCTTGGACGTTAGAGAGACAGCAGCAGACGGGTCACATGACCCGCGCAGAGCTCGGCCAGCACTTCCTGTTGGGCCTCCGCCAGGAAACGTCAAGGGGGTTAAACAACACGCCTCTGGGATGCTCTCATTTTGGGGGTTTTCTCCGTAACAAATCAAACTTTATCCAGCCCAGATTTCTCTGTTGGTCCTCTGTGTTCATACAGAAAAAAATAAGCAAAGTCACCAAAAAAAAGGTAAATGTGAGCAGTTTGTAAGGTGGAATATGGAGGTGAAAATGTAAAAAAAATCCACCTTTACTCTGTAGAAAGGCTGATTCAGCTCTCCTAGCTGGAAGCTCCATAAAGATTCAATCATGTTCAGTCAGATTTGAACCTTTTTTGCTCTGAAATATGGAATTTTTTAGATATCGAACGGAGTCTGGAGCCGGCTTGGTTTGGTAAACGTCCTGAAACATGGCAGTGAGCTGTGGGCTGGGGGGAGCAGAGCCCAGAGCCCAGTGACTCAGCCCGCGCTGACCCAAACAGAATAAGTCTGACCCTCACGCGGCCCGGGCGGATTATTTCTGCCGTGAGTCATAAGTAACGGCGGAGCTCCGGGGGCTCGTTTGTGCGTCTGACTCCGAGTCGAGGAATCCGGTTTCGCTTTGCATGCTGGAGCCAGATGCCGCCAGACGGGACGAGGGAGGCCAGTCTCTGACCCGAGCCGCTGAGAAACTGTCCCCCCCCACCCCCCAAAACGCGAGCTGTCTGGCTCAGGCTGGCAGCCACTCGCACAACACCCAGATGGTTCCTCCATCTTCAATCCAATCCAAGACGTTTTCACATAAGAGGCTAAAGAATCGAGCTAATGGAGCATTTATTTCGTTTTTGGCTTCTGTAGATGTTGGTTTACTGCGTTTAAAAGGGTTAAATGAAGCCTTTTAGAGGGAATCTGGACAGGATGGAGCCAGTTTCTGTATCCTTAATAACATTTTTATCAGAGCGAGAAGAGAGAAAACTGTTAAAATTGGCCCCAATAATCACTGTTGACTGTTAGTTGGCTGAAAAATAACCGAGTTCATGCTGGAATTAAACCTGAGCACGTGTAGCGTCGTGGTTCAGGAGACAGGCTGTAAAAACAAAAAAAACTGCCTCCCCGGAGGACACGTACAGTACACGCAGTCCACATCAGAGAGAGCTGCCTCACAGCCAAACTGGTTTGACTGACGCTTATCGGGAGGGATTTCAGAAGCCAAAGAATGCCTGTCAGTTGCTGTGTGGCTTTGGTGGTTTTTGCAACAAAAAAAAAAAGAGAAAAAAGGCAGGAGCAGCTTCAGAAGTCAGACAGAACGATCCCTAAGCGGCTTGGAGGCCTCTGCACGGCCCTTTAGAGGCATTCAGCCGCTTCTGTAGAGCAGAAATGAAGCTTTCCGTCTCCTCTTTCTGTTGAAACATGAAAAATCTCTGTGATGACAACGGTGAAAATAAGCCAAACAGGGCCAGTTGTAAGGAACTGGGCCAAAGCTTTACAAACACACACATTTAAAGGGGAAAATCGGGACTACAAGCCTTCATTCACCTCTCAGTTAAAGGAGGTTTTTTTTGTCTCTTTTGGTTCAAGCTTGTATATATCAGCTTAATAAATATAACTGTTCATTTTGGCTTGTTTGGTGCCATTTTCTGTGACTTTGCAGTTTTTTTTTTTTCCCATTCTGACAAATTATGGTAAACACATTGGACAAATCGCAGCTGGAAAAAGTACAGAAAGAGAACCCTCTTTAGAACAAACATCGTAAATCCTAAAACCTTATGAACAAAAAGTTCGAAACACACCACTACATTAATATCTCCGGCGGAAATATTTAAAAAGCGTCCAGTACACGTCAGGACTTGTAAACCTGAAATCGAATCGCGTCATTTGCCTCCAGACGGTTCAAATCAGTTCACTGACAAGTTTCGTTTCCACATTGGCTCCGAAATGTTTTAGTTTTGAATAAATTATCAACAAATCGAGTCAGAAAACGTCCCAAAAAACACAGTTTTTCTCATCTTAAGGACCCAAACGGCCTTTTTGCTCTGCATCCTGAGCAGATGTGCTCACATTACAGGCCTCTAACTCGACAAACTTCAGCCCCGACGTGAACCGGAGGGCTCCCAAAGCGGAGCACACAAGGGCCCGCCTGTGTGGAGCCTCTGAGAGCCCTTTCTGTCCGTCTGCCGCCCGCTTTTTTTCTAATCGTGCGCATCTGAGGACAGGTTTGCCTGCCGGGGCCTTTGTGTGCCGGGCCCCCCATCAGCGGGGCCCCTCTCACGTGGCGGCCCCATCTCCAGGAAACGCCACCTGCTCAGCGGGCCGCCGACCCATCGCTCAGCTCCGGTTACACAACCGACGGCCAGGTAAACAATGCAGGCTGACAAAAAAGGAAACGCTCGGCTTTGGACTCTTTATCCTGCATCCAACGCGGCGCTCCGCCCTCCGAATGGTCACAAACGTCTTATTTTGCTGTTAAAAAATCTGATGCTGTGTGAAAAGAGCAAAAAAGGGCACTTTTTTGTAGTTTATTTAGAGGTAAAAGCACCCCGGTTCACTAGTGTCTCACCTAAACACAATTCACAGATGCATCTACCTGTCAATATTTTGGGATGAGGGAGGAAAAAACTCTTTAAATGAAGATAAAATGATTTTTCTGCTGCCACCAAAAGGCAAAAAAGTCACTGACATGAGACTTAAGTCCTCCATTAATGTCTTTAACTTTTCATTTCATCTCTTTATCGCAGAAAGCAAAAGAAATCTAATTCGATGGATATTTTTATGGTAAAAAATGATCGATTATGGATTACTGTGGCAGATGAATCTGTTGTCAACAACAGCGACAGTTTATTCTGTGTTTTTTTAACTGAGGGAAGCAGGGCCCAGGCCTGAGGGAAAAGCTAAAAGGTGAATTATATTCTAACCATGACGTCAGCAAAGACTCTGATGCTAAAGATGAGCACTTTGTGACGATCAGGGCTCTGCATCAAAGGTCCTCTGAGGCCAGAGACGTAAAGCAAACAAAAAGATGCCAAAGACAGGCTGAGCGAGTGGGAAAACGTGACCCAAAACAAAGCAACACGTGCTTGGACGGCTAACGCAACTCTAAGAGGCAAAGTTTTTTCCTTAAAAAACCCCCAAACACCGACATGCTGTTGAGCAACCCACTCGCAGGAGGGCCGGTGAGCCTTTAAGCTCCTTTTCCCGTTCACACTTGCACTCTTTCCCAGCTGAGTCAGCCCGGGGGTGAGGCAGAGAAAGGCCTGTTCCCCCTCCTCCACCCCTCCTCCACCCCCCCCGCTCCACCCGCCCGCCGGGGTCCCGGACCGGACCTTTTCCAGGCCACTGTCCCACTTCTCTGGCCTCCAGGCCACTAATGGCACACATTAGACCCAGATGTGGGTTATCTAACAGCCGCCCGCCCGGTCGGGCTGATTGGGGGGGGGGGGGGGTCCGGGGCTCTTCCTGTGTCTGCCTCCTCCATCAGGCCGGCTTTCGGGGGAACGAGTCAGAACGAGGGCCCCGGAGGCCCGCGGCTGTCCGGGGAACAGGAACACAGACACGCCGGCCTTCTTTAGAGGAAAACACGCAGCCCTACGTGTGCCCACAAGCACTCACCCACACCCTGCGATCAACTTCCTTTTTTCTGCCTCGCACTAAAACCCATCCCCCCCCCCGGGCGCCGTACCAGACCCATTCCCACAGTTCAACAGAAACGTTTCAGTTTCCTCCCCATCTACGGACATCAAGCACATCTACTGAACTCTAAAACTGGATTTTTTGGTCAATTTTTGGAATCCCCCAGGAACTATTACCATTAGTTATTTAAGAAGAGCCTTTTTGGCTCCAAACACGACTGTTCTCTAGCTTTTTTGTATAAAACGACAGTCCATCTATCTATTTTTCCTCCCATTTTTTACCATTTTCTTCCTGTCAGGGGTCACAAGAGAGGCCCTGTTTCAGGTGTCATTTATACACGTTTAAAGCGTCTCAATGAGCCCACGTTGAGGCTACTAAAGAGGAAAAACGATGGCGGGAGAGATGAGAGCGGAGATTGCTAAACTGTGTGAAATACTGATGACGAATGTGGCTGATAAATAAGTCAATGTGGTGACAGGGGGACAAAGCCACCGGCCCGGTTGTGCAACGATTACGCTGCGAGCTGAACAGAAGCTGAGAAAAAAACAGCCACCTACAAGTAGGCTCACCCTCTGTGGCAGATATAAACACCAAACACCAGAAAAAAAAGGCAACACCGCCCCACTATTTGGTCCAATTCAGCCTTCCCTCTGACATTTCCTCCCCAACAAACCAGACACTCAGCTCAGTCTGGCAGAAGTTTTGCTCTAACGTGCATTTTTAACCGATTCACGTCCAAAATTGTGCGTGGAAATCTTTGAAAAATGAGCCCGGTTAGCTTAAGTCTTGTGAGAAAAAAGGCGTGAGGTAGCAGGGAGGCAGATGGCAGCCGTAAGTGTCCTGACTGTGCATGTGAGCGTTTGCTAACGCGGATAAAGGCGGGTGGGGAGCGGTGGGGGGGCGAGGGGAGGGGGAATAATGGAGAGGTGGGGTTGTGAACGACCCCCTTTGTTACCATGGAGAGGTAGCTGACAGGAGAGGGCTGTGTTTGACGGGGAAACCGTCAACGCTGCCGCTCGGCTTACAGATAAAGTCTCCATTTCCCCCACTGCTACCATAAAAGTGCATAAAAATATCCACCGGGGGATAAAACTGGTGGACATGCTTATCATGAGGTCATCCCATTAAAAGAAACCACCTTAACTGTTAAAAAGACACCAAAGATTGAAATGCATCAAGAAATTAAACCGCATAAGGTCCTCTTTGTGGGTTTGAAAGGTGATTAAATAAAAAACAGCCTTATGTTCTGAAGTCGAAAGCAGAAATAAATGTGTTTTTTTTAAACATGTTATTAGTTTCTGGGGTTCGAGCTAAATTAAACCTGCTCTGTTTTGGGTGTGGCCTGACAGAAAAGGGTTCCCAACAGGTTGGTGTGGACCCCCGACAGGGCCGGCGGGTCCCACGGGCAGTAAACGCCTCGCTGCAAGACTCCAGGAGTCGGTGAAGGGTTAGAGAAGGCCATTCGGGGAGGAGAGGGACAGAGCAGAAACCCACAGACTCAGACGGCATGTAAACACACACAATGGCCCAGGCGGTGATGACATCCCCTCAGAATAACCTTTACACTCCTCAGGGGAGTGCTGTGCGTATTGTCAGCTGCCGGCGCGTGGTTTTAAAGGAAGCGACTCTTTGTTTACGACTCGATTCGAACATTTCAGAGGGGCGTTTGGTGCCGAAGCGAGGTGCCCTTGAGCTAAAAGTTTGGGGTACCTTGTGAGGCCTGCTGGGAGACGTTCAGATTACACCAGGCAGCTGTTTCGGGGAGTCTGGGTCTGAGTCTGAGCCACAGAAAGAGGGCAGCGGGACAAACGGGGCTAGCCTGACACAGCAGATTTGCCGGTGTGGTCTGTTGCAGGTTCACTGCAGCAGAAGGTGGAGGCAAAGATGGGGGAAACGACCAGAGCAGGCCCACTGGGGAGGGACGGAGAGGAGCAGGGGGTGGAAAGGCCGGGTGGCCTTCATTCATCATTGATAAGAGGAGACCGCACATGCAAAATAAGTGGAGAAAGAGGGAGTTTTTTGGACTGATTTTAAAAAGCAATCGTGCTTTTCTGGGCACGAATAGCTCGGCACCCAATTATCCGTCTCCCACGCGTCTTATTTTCAGGCTCCATCATCTCCTGTGCAGGATACTGAAAGGCAACCTGTCCCAAATGAGAGGGGAGATTAGGGCATCCTGCCTGGTCACAGCTGCCCAGGACACATGGCAGACTAATCCCAGGGCCTGCTCGTGTAGGGTGGACACCCTGAAGGCTAATAGGAAACTAAACACACAGCGGGAAGGCTACAAACGTACCCCCTGGTGTTTTAATGGACTTACGTGGTCCGAGTTCCTCTCGTTCCCAGGCAGGGCCGTGCGTAAAGACATCCTCCTCCCTATGAGCGCGGGTATCCGTCCAGGATTCACACAAAACTGGGCAAAGACGTTAAGTTCGGGGGCAAAATTATAATAAAAAATGACAAGCCTGGTTCTCAGTCCCAGCAGGCTCTGTCTGTGTGTGTGTGTGAAGGTTTTAAGGGCGAAGACGAAGACGGCTTCCCTTTTCAAACAATCCTCATTGTCGCGGTCCCTGAAGGCAGCACGGATCACAGAGGCGGTGATCCGGCTCGAGTCGAGGCGGAAAAACAACCCGGTTAGCTAGGACCGACTCATGTCTCCTTGTGTCTTTTAAATGGAGGTGGTCCAGCTCCGTTTCTTGTAAATAAACAAACCCAACGGCTCGGGCTCTGGACTCCCGGCTCGGCTCCACTTTCTCCCGGCGGTCCTCTCCCCGGGCGCGACCGTTGGTCAAAAAAACAGACGGAAACCCCAACCGGCCATCACCGGTTCACCTCCAGCCGGTTCATTTTTTAGGAGAATTTTAAAAAAAGGCCACCGAGGGAGAAACAGGGGGGGCAGCCGGGACCGGGGCGAAGACGGTGGGCTCCGCGGAAAAAAAGGGGGAGTTTTCTGGTTTGGCTGTTAGCTAGCTAACGGGACATTTTCGATTGACAAAAGTCAAAACGGCCGCTCCCACACAGGAACGGCCGTTTAAAAGGGACCGGAAAAGGGCTGAGGAGACATTTCTGGACACCGGGCGGGGGGTGGGGAGGGGGGATAAATCAATGAACCAACTGCAGTTGTGCCGAAAAGAAAGCGGCGGATGTGCAGCCTTTCCTCCGAGCAAGACCCCGGGCGTTGGGCTCAGTCCTGCCCGGCTCCGGCGCCTGTCGTCCGGCCTGCTAGCGGGCGGCGTCGCGGTGAGCGGAGAGCCGTTGGCGTCGGAACCTGAAGGCGTCCTCCCTCCCGGGACAGACGCATAGCACTTGTTTTTTCCCCCGGAGAGAGAAAGAAAAAAGACGGCGGAAGACGGGATCTCCCCCTTCTCTCCACCTCCAGAGAAACACGGTGACAAGAGAAAGAGGGAGGGACGTCTGGCTGCGCGTGCACGCACGAACGCACGCACGCACGAACGCCGGTCTCTGTTCAGTCATGCCGCCTTCAGGTGCTCAGGACAAAATCGGTCCTCCGAGCTCTACTTCAACGATTTGTTTTTACGACAACGTCAAGTAGTTTGCATAGTCAATATTTACATTTAATGTCCTATAAGGCTAATTTGACCATTCAAATCAACCTTATGATTTCTCAAAGGGTAGATTTACGGCTGCGTGTCGTTACTGTGACGGTGGGGGTGTGGTGGTCCGCCCTGTGGCCTCACAGCCAGAGGGTTTCTGGTTCAAATCCCCAGGGAACCAGGGGTCTTTCTGTGTGGAGTTTGCATGGTCTCCCTTTGTCTCCATGGGCAACCCTGGCTTTCTCCCACCGTTCAAAAACACGCGTGTTACGGTTAGACTTTCTCCTCGGAGTGGATGTGTGCGGCCTGTCCGGGATGTACCCACCCCTCACCATAAATATGATATTTAGATTCAGGAATAATATCTAAATAACACACTTGTATATATATATCAGATATAACAATATATTTAACATGTGGATTTGAGGTCTATACATGTGTAAAAAAAAAAGACATTTTTTTGTCATTTCTCAACTCGATTACGCAGATAATTAAATTGATATTTAAAATTTGTGGAATATATCTTCCTAGGGACATTTCCCGAAAGCTCAAGAGCAGAAAACTGCTTTCCAACATGTTTTCTTCCCCATGAAAAAAAATCTGTTTGCACAAAAAAAAAATTGATATTCAACTGTATTCATTTCCATTCATTCATTTATTTCGGATCGAAAAAACTTGAGAAAAAATAGATACAGTAATTGCTGTGATCTAACTTAAATAGGCTTCCATTTTCTCTGTTATTTTATTTTAAAGAAATCAGTTTTATTTATTCATCCGTTTGTTAAATTCCCCAAATAAACTTAAGAAAAAATGTTTTATGAGGCCTTCTGCCAGTTTCTGCTGCCTTCAGGGGCTCGGGACAAAGTCGATCGTTCGACCTAAGCTTCAACACTTCTAACTTTCTCCACGGATTGAATGTGGTTCTGGCAGAAAGACTTTTTGTACGTCACCTTGATTGAGTTTGGGCTTGGCAACAATTTAATGAGGTCTCACAATCCAGACAGGAAGGCCACAAGTTTCAGATGTTTACGTGCCTCAAAAACTTGAATCTGATTCAATTACTCTTTTCAAAACACCGTTAAGATCTGCACAATCTGCAGTAGTAGAACCAGATGTGTTGAAACAGGGAGCAGAAGCAGATCCTCTTCATCTGCTGGATTACAGAGTTTTTCAGGCCCAGCTCTTCTTCTTCTTCTGTCCTCCACTGGTCCAGTTTCCTCACATGTTTTAGGGACTCACTGCTCACCAGCTGAGATCTGTCCAGTTTCCAGCCAGCAGCTCTTTGGGAATCCTCAGAAATCCCGTTTCTTATCTATCAGACTGGGCTTTCTTTGGCCTTTTTCACACATCAGCCAAAGCAATGCGAACAAATGATGTGTCTCTGTGACAGACTGCTGCTGACAAAGAGCCTGAAGATCCACTTTAAACTGCTTTTTTTCCAAGTTGGACACAACGCTGGCTCACCCCTTGAGTTAGCAGCCTTTTTTCCCCCACCTGAATGATTCATAGGTCAAAGTCAAGAGGGTCAAATCTCAAAATGGTGCAGGGACTGGACTTAAAAGGAGAGAAAAAGCAGTCAATGTCCGAAGAAGAACTTGGAAAGATCCTCTGAAAGGATGAGAACTACTGCCCAAAGCCACCTCTGAAGATCAAAGACTGGGAGGCTGGTTGGAAATAGTACACAGAAATCAGGACTGGATAGACTTTTAAGCGGAATCTGTTCTGAAAATGTGGCACAACAACTGGAGGACGCAAGCAAAAACCCTCTGTCATCACTAAATAAACCGATGAACCAATAAACAGATACAGCTTTGTTCTTCTTCTTCCATAATTTTAATGTGTTTCTGTTAAAAATACATTTTCTCTCTTTATATTACCTTTTTGATAAGCTTAATCGAGCTTTTTTATACATCAGAAAATAAAAAGTTAAAATGGAGCTCTATTGGAAACCACAATGGCCATAAAGCCGAAGAACAAACTAAACTAAAATATCCAAAATACCAAATCCAAACACACTACAGAGCTAAAGAAGAAGCTGAAAAAAGTTTTGGTGGAAGATGTCAGCTTCTGATTTAAGAGTGGAAAAAAAAGATAGACATTTAATCAGGATCTGATAAAGATAGTCAGTGACCAGACCCAGGGATGGTTTTGTTTTATGTATTAGTTTTAGGGTCAACGTCAGCATAAAAGTAGATTTTTAGAGCCTGTTTTCTTCAAAATTTTCTTCATTTCAGGGGTCTTTATGTGGCTGAAGAACAGAGTGTAAAAAAACCAGGTCTTACCTGGACCGATCTGGACCGGTTGGAGCGAACCCACGGCCTCATGCTGCTCCTTCAGCCCTGTGTCCAGCCCTGTGTCCAGCCCTGTGTCCAGCCCTGGGCGACCTGGGTCCGGCAGACTGAGGCAGAGAGCTGCAGGATCGATGCTGTAAAGATCCGGCACAGCGGCAGGCAGGCCGAGTTTCCACAGAGCGAGTGCTCCAGCATCAATAGCATCTCTGCTGGGCGGCTGTGGATAAAACAATTAGAGCTCCAAAAAAAAGAGAAGGGCCGGACGTCGATACGTCCAGTGCGACATGGAAAAGTTCAGCTGCTGACGGCTGGATTTTTTTTTGCTTTTGTTCTCCACATCTGAGGGCGAATCTGGGACTAAACACTCTCAAACTCAGCATGTTTTCACATAATTTAATCTAAAATAACACCTCATGGAACAGGAAATTTAAAACGGATGTGTAAAACTTCAGAATGAATATAAACTTTGAATCAGATCAGTTCAGAAAACAGAAATAGTTATTTGATCTGATATGAACATTTAGGTTTAGATTCCAACATTTAGGTTTAGATTCAACATTCAGATTCATCTTTAACATTTAGATTCAGAAATAATATCTAAATATCACACTTGTATAGATATGTTAGATATAACAATAGATTTAACATGTGGATTTGAGGTCTGTACATGTGTAAAAAATACATTTTCAGTGAAATTTTAGGTTATTTCTCAAATATTATTATGAGCTAAATTAGATTGATATTTAAAATTTGTGGAATACATCTCCTTAGGGACATTTTCCAGAAAGCTGAAGTGCGGAAACCTGCTTCCCAACATGTTCTCTTATCTCAACATCTGTTTTCACAAAAAAAAGTTTATTTACAGCCGCAGTAATTTCCATTCATTCATTTAATTCTGATCCAAAAACTAGAGAAAAAATAGTTACAGTAACTGATGTAATCTAGTTAAAATGGTGCTTCCATTTGACTTCTGAGAAATCAGTTTTATTTATTATCTGTTTGTTGAACTCCTTGAACACACTTTTTAAAAAACTTCTGCCAGTTTAAATTAGACATGAGGAAAATTTCAATCAATTTTTGTGTCCTCAGAGCACCTTTATCCTGTTAAAAGCTGGTTTTACGTCACCCAGAGAGGCCGCCACCCCAAATAAAACGGTTTAGTTTGCAAAGAGAAGCCTATCAAAGCATTTCAAATGAAGAAAAGATTCTTCACGCGTCTATTTGGCCGGTTGTGATGCCCCCCCACACACACACACACAACACCCTGGACTGTAATCTGAAGAGATTAGAGCCTGCCTGACCTACTGTACAGCTAAGTGTGCACGCTGACGTCAGCGGCTTAAGCAGAAACTTCTGAGCAACAGATAAACGTTTCAAAATGGGGCCTTTTTATCTGAATTACCAATATCTTTTAAAATTATTCTAAATTGGTGAAAGAGCTGTTTTTATCTGTTTTTTACCAGTTTAAAAGGCAGCTAGTTTGATCTAATTAAAGAAAATATGTTTGGAAATCTGACGCAGGTCACAGTTCAAAGAGGAAATAAACAACTGACAGTCCTGAAATTAACAGAAACGAAGACTTTTAGGGGAAATGAGAGATTATTCAAGCAAAAAAAGAGATCAGGTGGTCTTTTAAACACAGATGAGCTCTGATTAAAGGAAGGAGACCTGGAGCTGGAGTCCAGCTTTTGTGAGTGTTTAGCGCCACCTGTTGGTGGACATCTGAAAGCTGCAGGACCAACCAGTCAGCAAGTTTGAATGATGTCATTTTAATCACCGAGCCATAAACGGCTGACGGGAAAAAGATAAAGGACGGAAAAACTGAATGGAACTGTGATTAACTCTTTTTTAGAGGCAGATTTTTCTTGTAGATCGAAAAATGAACATCTCTAAGGTTTAACTGATCAGTAGAAGGTGGTTCTGAGCTCATTAGTTGGGGTGTAAAGGGGCCCTGTCATGTTAAAATGAGGTTCTTCATATTCCAGACTTTAGATTTAATCAATTTTCACACATTAAAGTTCTGAAATGAACCTCTGGAGGTCTGGGACCTTCGTCTGGCTGCAGGATGGAGCTCCCTCTGATGGGTCTGGAGGCTTTTGGACCCTGAGCAGCTCAGATGTTTCCCCCCCCCCATCGGGCTCTGGACCTTTGGAGCTCCGTCTTTGGAGGTCCAGCTGGTTCTGGTGGGTCCAGAGCCCCTTTTTCCAGAACCCTGCAGCTCCTTTGAAGGAGCCATCTTGTTTCTGAGGCTGTTCAGGAGGTCTTCTGTGGACTGAGGTCTCTGCCAAAGCCTCAGCTGCCTCCTGAGGTTCCGGTTCTGACCCGCCGGACCGGCCCGGGAGGACTTTCCTCACCTGGTTCTCTCCTCACCTGCAGTTCGTTAGCTCATTGGTTCCTCAGTATTCATACCACTCCATTTCCACTTCCTCCTAGCCAGATTGTCTTGTGTTGTTCCCTGTTCTGATCTCGTTTCTGACCTTCTCGGACCTCGGATTCCTGCCTGCCCCCTATCGGATTTGTTTGCCTGTACGGTTGATCTCCTGGTTTTGACCCTGCCTGTTTTTGGACCAAGTAAACCAGATTTTCCCTCAAAACTTGCCCGCCTCATTGTCGTGCTCTTGGGTTCTCTGTTGCCAGGACCAGTGGCGGTGACAACTGCTTCAGGTCCTCCCACGCTGGTCTGGTTTTGCTCCTGTGTTCCAGTCTCTGAACCGCCTAATTGTTTTTTTTCTGAAGGCCAGAGAGGTGTTTTTTTTTCTCTATAGTTCATCTGAAGGTGCAATAAGATGCAGGGGACTTTTTTTGTCTTTCTTCAAAGTATGAGCCTCCTCAGCCAACCAGTGCAAGTTGTTGGTGGTTTATAGACGTGTTCATAACCACATCTTTCGTTCTACCTTAGCAGCTTTTTGTGCAGAGCGGCTTCAACTGTCGAGTATGAAGGCAGTGTAAAGTTTGCGTCCTCCAGATTTGACAGGAACTACCAAACAAAAGCAAACTTTGAGCATTGCTGTCTCTTTACAGGTAAGTTTTGATTTCAGTTAAATGACAACTAGGACATGTGGTTTAGAGCATAAGTGTAATTAAATCTGAGTTTTGGGTTTCTGAGCAAAGAAATTACTCAAGTCTTAACTTTCCTGATTTCTACAGGTCAACTTCAAAATTTAAAAAGACTTTGCTTTTATTCCACATAATGTCCTGAAAATGACACAGATGGGTCGTTCTCTGCTATTTTTGCTGCAATTCAAGAAGTTTAAGTTTATAGTCTAAAGAACTCAGAGTTCCTGCTGGTTTTCCTCTAAAATAAGGCTTAATTTCCTGGAAATGAGCTCTGTTCCAGCATCCATTCCAGAAATGAAGGGAAACTTTGTGCTAACATGTTGAAAAAAGTCAACTAAAAGCTGGAACTCAGAGCTGTGGAATCATTTTAGACTTCCTGCTTTAGAAAACAGTCACTCTAACCCGGCAGGACAGCAACTGGGACTATTTGCTGCCTTTTTGTCTCCAAAAGTGGCTACAATTGTCAATAATTGAGCTTTATTACAGCAGATACCACAGAGAGAAGTGTAAATTAGTTGGAAACGGGTTCACTAACAAGAAGAAACTGAAAAATTTGCAGATCATTTGATGCTTTCAGACACAGCAAACACTCACACTAAACCAGTCCTGAACACAGAAAATGAGGAAGCCTCAGTGTCCAAAGACCAGACACACCTCCAACAAAAAGGCTCCTGTCAGGTCTGAAGGGTCAGGCTGATGTCCTCCAGTAAGACAGTTACTCCACAACCGGTCTGACATCCCATAATACTGTAGAAATGCCCAGGTTTTTTTAAGTTGGTATTTGAAGGGGTTAAAGAACAGAGTTCAGGGATCCCCCAGGAAGGTTAAGGCTGCTTAAGTTATTAAGCTGTTAGTGGATGAAACAAAATGAATATCGTGTGACAGCAAATGTTTGAGACATTCAACAGGCGGTCCGCGACCCCTTAAATCCACATGAACATACAGTAAAAACAGGAAGATATCAACCTGTGGATCATCTGAGGATCTTAGTACTGAATGCCCAATAACAAGGGACATTTACACACTATAGGACCAGTTTGATAGAACACAATTTCAGACAATATATATAATTAGAGGGTCCCAGCTCTCTCAGTTTGGGGGTCCTTGGAGGTGTCAAACTCCAGCCCTCTTTGGGCTGCTGTCTGGTAGGTTTTAGACATTTTCCTGCTTCCTGCACCTTCTGATTTAACTGGACCTAATCTGGATATTGCTGAGCTTTGCTAAAGGCACTCAGATGTGAATCAGGTGCCTTGAAACAGGGACGCCTCTAAAAACCTGCCGGACTGGAGGACTTGAGTCTGGCTCCTGTGCTCAGAGCTGAGTTGCTGTCTGGATGTTTCTTTCCCCAGAGCCCTGCTGCGGTCCACCATGCTGGCGGCGCTGACCCTGGCCTGCCTCGGCGTCCTGGCGAGTCCGTCGGACCTCTGCCCGCCCGCCTGCCGCTGCATCCAGAACCTGACCACGGTGGCGTGCCGGGAGAAAGGCCTGGAGCGGATCCCGGAGCTGCCGGCCGGCGCCGAGAGGCTGTACGTCCCCTACAACCAGATCCAGGAGCTGCCAGCCAGCGGGCTGCAGGAGCTGCAGGTAGGAGCCGGCAGCCCAGGGCCGCCAAGTCTGTCTGGCTGCAGACTGCAGGAAGCCAAGGATGGATGTCCTACTCCACCCACATCCAAGTCGGCCATTTTGATTAGGTTACCAATAGGAAGATCCCAGGCAAGAAAATCCTAATTGCTTCATGGCAATATAGACATTCATTTAGAAATAGTGAAATGAATCTTGCAAACACTGAATTCAACTTTATACATAATATTATGTTAAAATAGTGGATGTTTGTACAATAAGTCCAAACAAGTTTAACCAAAAAATATTTATGTCTCACAATTATGAAGGCTGGATGGTTAGGGTCAGGACATTGTTTGTCCTCTGATTTCATACAGACAGGAAAGTTTCGTTTCCACTTGAGAAAGCTGCTAGTCATATGACCTAATAAAATGGCCGACTTGGATGTGAGAGGAGTTGGATATCCAACCGAGGCTCCTGCAGGCTGCAGCCAGAGGCTGCTCGGTTCTGCCTGGCTGATGTTCCCTGTGATGAGGCTCCATATCTCCCTCATCAACCCGCAACCGGTCGAGGCAGATGCCCCCCCCCCCCGAGCCATGGTTCTGCTCCAGGTTTCTGTCCCTTCCCTGTGTCGCCTAGTGCTTGCTCTTGGTGGGAATGTTGGGCCTCTGTAAATAACTCAGTGTAGTCTGACATGCTGTGTTTGGAAATCTGGGAGATGACTGTTGTTGTGATTTGGTTCTATATAGATAACATTTAATTGAATTTAATTAAATTGCTCGCTGCAGGTCCTGGACCTGACGCAGAACCGGCTGAACCTCTTCGTCTCTCTCAACCCGGTTTGGCCCGAAATGCCCAGGCTGACCAAGCTCCTCCTACGAGACAACGGCCTGGAGAAGCTCCACCCCGCCCAGTTCCTGAGTTGCCCCGCTCTCGCCTTCCTGGACCTGAGTAGGAACCAGCTCGGGCGGCTGCCGCCCGGGTTCCTGCGGGGTTTGGCCCGCCTGAGGACCCTGTTTCTGACCTTCAACCGGATCGAAGTGCTCCCGGCGGGGGCGCTGGCGGGAGCCCCCAGCCTCACCGAGCTCCACCTCAGCGCCAACAGCATCGCGCTCATAGAGGACGGGGTCTTCCGGGATGCCGCCGGGCTCCAGAAACTGGTCCTGTCTCACAACAGGGTCGGACATGTGGGAGAGGCCGCTCTCAGGGGAGCGTCCGGACTCAGACACCTGGACCTGAGCGGCAACCAGCTGCTCGAGGTTCCCGCCGACGCACTGAGAGAAGCGGGCCAGTTGGGGTTCCTGAGCCTGGCCATGAACAGCCTGCCCGTCCTTCCCGAGGACGCCTTCTCCTCTCTGGGGACGCTGGGCCAGCTGGACCTGAGCAGCAACAACCTGAGCTCCCTGTCGGCCGGCTCGCTGGCGGGTCTGGCCAACCTGACCGACCTGGATCTCAGCGTGAACCTCCTGGCCTCCCTTCCCTCTGGAGCCTTCAAAGACCTGGTCCGCCTCGAGTTCCTGGACCTGTACAAGAACAGGCTGCGGTCGCTTCCCGTGGACGTTTTCGACAACCTGACGAGTCTCCAGGAGCTTCAGCTGGACAACAACGAGCTCTCCGACCTGCCCGTGGGGGTTTTCGATGCCCTGCACAGACTGAAGGAGCTCCAGATCTCACACAACCGGATCCGGACGCTCCACCCTGCTGTGTTCGCCAAACTCAGGTCACTGGAGAAGCTGAACCTGGAGCAGAATGCTCTGGAAGACCTTCCCAAAGGGCTTTTTCACAAGCTGAGAGCCCTCAAGGAGCTGCACCTCCAGGAGAACCACCTGAAGTCCCTCCATCCCTCCGTCTTCCACGGCTTACCGAGACTGGACACGTTGAGACTTTCCAGCAACAACCTGTCCGTTCTACACCGGGACCAGTTCAGGGACCTCTCTGGTTTGAAGGAGTTGATGCTGGACGGGAACCAGATCGTCTCACTACCCCCAAATGCTCTGGCGGGCCTCGGGAAGCTGGCAACGCTGGATCTGAGCAGCAATCGTCTGTCAGAGCTGTTTGTTTCCAACTTTGAAAGCCTGACACACCTCAAAGAGCTCAGTCTGGGTTTCAATCGGCTCCACAAAATCGCCGTGGGCAGCTTCCGTTTCCTCCCGAACCTCCGCAGGCTTCTGCTGCACAACAACAGCCTGGACAGTTTACCCCGGCAGCCCTTCGTCGGGCTAGCGAAGCTGAAGGAGCTCAACCTGGACGGGAACCGGCTGGCCGGCCTGGAGCCGGACGTCTTCCGGGGACTGACCGAGCTCAAGAGGCTGAACCTGAGGGCCAACCGGCTGCGGGCGCTGCCGGCAGGGACCCTGGAGCCTTTGAGGAAGCTCAGCACGGTGTGCTTGTCGGGGAACTTCTGGGACTGTGGCCTGGACACGCGCTACGTCTGCAGCTGGGTCTCAGCCCACGGGAACAAACTGGGAGACCAGCCCGTCTGTTTCAGCTCCTCCCAGTCTGTTTCTGAGAACCGCCCCCCCACGGGGCTCGCAAGCTACTGCAGCTCGAGCGCTGCACGCCGAGCGTTCTCGCTTCCGTTGGCAACGCTGAGTCTGCTCGCCCTGCTTCTGGCGGGTGTTTGCCCACAATGACTTCCTCAAAGGTGCGTGACCTCTTTGCTTTTTAAGCTTGCTTTTGGTTTCCGGGGGAACTTGTATGAATGTCAAACGACGCACTCAATATTTTCCCTGAAAAATTATGTAAATACGCTGAAGTATGAGCTAAATTTTAGTGAATTCAACCAAAGATCGAGAGGAAAAACTCAGTTTTAACACGTTATGTCAGAGTCGTTGATTTTGACACCACACTAGCAAAGACTTTAACATCCTGGTGCTTAAAATGGATGATGTGAGCCAATAAAATCAGCCACACCTTCATTTATTCATAGCTCTGAGCTGTTCAGGGCAAAAATATCTGTCCTGTGTGAGTTTGAATGACTTCAATAAGTCCACGATTTCCAGTTTTTGGTCTGTACTGAGGAGCTGTAACGTACTGTGAAGTCTTTAGCCACCTCTAAGTTCTTCAAGACTATTTGAGGCTCTTTCAGAGTCGTTTGAAAGACTTTCCCCGATTTTTAGTTGAGTCTTTGAACCTTTTTGTCAGGGAACCCACCAAAGTCTGAGCTAGGAAGGAGCTCAGAGATGGAGATTTTAAACTCCTTTTAATCAAACTAACTGTTTGTTACCTTTATTCTGTACTTGTATTGATGCTTGTACGTTTTAATAAATCACCGCAAATACATTACTTTTTTCTTTCATTACAGATTATTAAACGGACATTGTGTAGTATTTTAAGTATTTTATTAGCTAAAATCATGTTCTTCATTTATTAATGTGTCCTCATTATTTCCCTCTGGGATTATTAAAGTATTTCTGATTTTGATTTGGTGTAAAATGACCTCTGCAATGATCTGACTTCTCACAAGGAAGAATTTCCTGTCTGTATACACACAGGACGGGTAAGTCCACGGAGGTTTCCATGGCGATCCGCCATTTTGAGACATAAAGCACTAGTCTGCCTGTCTAGTTAATCCTCAATGCGTTTTCCCTCAGAGTCACGTGACTGAAACTTCGCCATCTTGTTTGAGGAGGAATTACAGGCTCACACTACTGACTCAATCCAGTTCGTAGTTTCTTTTAAATTCCAAACCTCATTACAAGAGAAAACTCCACGATGTGGAAGTCATGTTGTCATTACTTCTGATGCCTGACGGCTAACGTAGCTGTAACACCCGTTTTAAAACGGAGAGCAGATTTGTTAGGATGCAGAACACAGTTTCACCTTTTAGATGGAGGGATTCCTGCACCGTGTAGCTTTAAGAGACATATTATACCCTATTTCAACAAGTTAAACTAGTTCCCAGGTGTCCTAATGTAATGTCTGTGACAGTCTTTGGTCAAAATCCCATAAGGATGAAGCCCAATAGCAGTTCAGTCCCCCTGCCAAAACAGCCCCGTTCAGAGCGCTCGCTTTGGAGTGCCTGTCTCTTTAAATGCAAATGAGACACAGGCAATCCACCCACTTCTTCCGGGAGGTGTGCCCACGTCGGCACGCTAACGCTACCATGCTAACACTACCATGCTAACGCTCATGTACCACGACGTCTGCCATAGATGGGCGGAGTAAGCTGAGGTGGGGGGCAACATGCAGGTGAAAGGCTGGAATATTATAATGAGCTAGAGCTAATGACGTCAGAAACTACCCACTCCTGAAACCTCCTGATTTATCTCCTGTATTGAGACTGAGGCAGCCCACAAAAACATGACTGAGTCATTTTTTTTCACACTTTGCCTGCTGATAGGCCCTCCACAGTCCTAAATGTACATAATCACATGATTAAAAAACTTGGTTTTGCATAATATGTCCCCTTTAAGAAATGAGGAGACTCTCAGGGATTTTGTCATGTCCAGGTTTATAGAAACAAAAACCAAAAGCGTACATGTGCAGATAAGCAGCGAGTCTCTTTCATCACAGTTTGCCGTTCCCCTCCTTGGGGCTCCACAGAAAAAAACCTCCAGCTGGGAGGTGCCCAGGTGCCGGTTGGCCTCAGACGTAGAAGCACTTGTGGTCCTTCAGGTTCCTGAGGTAGGAGAAGCTCTTGCCACAGCGGTCGCACATGAACTGCTTGTGTCCGCTGTGGATCTGCTGGTGGGCCTTCAGGCTGTTGCCCTGGTTGAAGCTGCGCCCGCAGGTGTCGCAGCTGAAGGGCTTCTCGCCGGTGTGGATGCGCTGGTGCCGGTTCAGGTTGCCCGAGTTGCTGAAGGATTTCCCGCAGGTGTCGCAGCTGAAGGATTTCTCCCCGGTGTGGACCGCCTTTGGGAGAGAAGGTCGACAGGCAAGCTGATCACTAGCGAACCAACAGGGTTATTCACAGTATTCTGCAATATGAACAAATACATGTCTAAATAAAAAAGCTAAAATCATAAGTGAGCCTACTGACCTACCTGGTGGGACTTCAGGCTGTTCCTGACCCACCTGGTGGGACCTCAGGCTGCTACTTACCCACCTGGTGGGACTTAAAGCTTCTACTGACCCACCTGGTGGGAC